GGATAATCCTGCGCAAGAGTTGGACCTTCCTTCCAAGGAGTGGCTGGTGGGTTTGAACCGCCAGCCTTCTGGTTAGCAGTCAAGTGCCTTAGGCACTATGCTACCAGAGCTCCTCCCAACACCTCTAGTGCTCCCTTAATCTCTCCCCCATTCCTTAGAGAAGAAGAGATTTTAAAATGATTCTTAGATGGATTCTCTATATATTATCATGGGAAGATGTCCACAGTATATTAGTGAAAAGAGCAAGCTTATGTGATGAAATGTGTTTGTGAAAAAAAATGGTGTACATACTTACAATATACTCCTCTATCCCCTCTTGTACATACCAAAAAACAAAAAAACATTGCCATAGAGTTAATTCCAACTCATAGTGACTCCACTGGGTTTCCAAGAAGGTAAACCTTTATGAAGAAGACTCCCTCATCTCCCTCCTATGGAGCAGCTGGTCGGTTTGAACTACCAGCCTTCTGGTTAGCAGCCAAATATCTTACCCACTATACCACCAGAGCTCCTACATAGAAACTGTATAATGTTACTATGTAAATAAATCGACATACCTACTGTCACTGCCACTGCGTCAATTCCAACTCACAGTAACCCTATCAGACAGAGTAGAACTGCCCCATAGGGTTTCCAAGACTATAAATCTTTATGGAATCTGGCTGCCTCATCTTTCTCCCACAGAGCAGCTGGTACATTCGACCTTTTTGTTAGCAGCTGAACGCTTTAACCATTGTAAAACCAAGGCTCCCTAAAATCAACATACAGGACTTCTAAACAACATGGTAAGGGAGTAGTGATGGTTCAATGGTAGAATTCTCACCTTTCATACAGGCAAGGGGGGTTCAATTCCTGGCCAATGCTCAAGCACAGCTACCACTCATCTGCCCGTGGAGACTTGTGTGTTGTATAATGCTAAACAGGTTTCAGTAGTGCTTCCATACTAAGATGGACTAGCAAAAAGCCCTGGAATGTACTTCCAAAATATCAGCCAATGAAAGCCCTGTGGATCACAACAGTCTGATCCTGTTATACAAGGGGTCACCATGAGTCAGGGGCCAATAAGCAGGCAGCAACAACAGAGTAATACAGTACATTGAGTTGACTCAGAAAGACACATGAACTCAAAAAAAAAAAAAAAAAATTTCACTGCCATTGAGTCAATTCCAACTCATAGAGATCCCCACTGGTTTTCCAGAGCTGTAAATCTTTACAGAAGTAGACTGTCTCATCTTTCTTCTGTGGAGCAGGTGGTGGGTTTCAACCGCTGACCTTTTGGTTAGCAGTCAAATGCCTTAACCACTACACCACCAGAGATGATGAACTATTAATTCTAGAAAACATAAAACAAGAGCCTATTCAAAGGTATCAAAAACTAAACCAGATCCACTGTCATCAAGTTGATTCCAATTCATAGTGACCCTATTGGACAGAGTAGACCTGCCCCATAGGGTTTCCAAGGCTATAAATCTTTATGAGAACAAACTGCCTCATGTTTCTCCTACGGAGCAGCTGGTGGGTTTGAACCTCCAACATTTTGGTTAACAGCCAAATGCTTTAACCACTGTGCCACCAGAGCTCCTTTATTCAGAGGTATAACATTTTAAAATCCTTATACTATTTTGGAAGAAGAGAGAGGTACTGATAATAGGAAACTTGCATGTAGGAATCAAGCATTGGTGACTCGTTTAAAAATGGTGGCTGCCACACATTCAAAGTGGAGCAGTCACCCAGGGCACCACTGCCTGTTTCCTACATGGGTCAAAATCTGACATGCAAGAGATTTAACACATACACTGCCCTTGTTTTCCCCAGCCATAACTGAACTATTTCAAACAGGTTCTGAAGCCCTGATTAAAAATGTAAATGTTACCATTAAAAGATTAGTGACAAAATAATTTCCAGATCTGTTGAGGGGAAGGGGCTAAAGAAAAAGTGATCAGTCCAATAAAAGACAAGAGGAAAAAGGGGGAAAAAAAAAGAGATCAAAAAGCACATCAAAATAGAAAATACAAAATAAGACAAATACGTGCCTAAGGCATTTGACTGCTAACCAGAAGCCTGGTGGTTCAAAGCCACCAGCCACACTGCAGAAGGAAGACTGGACAATCTGCCTCCGAAGCCCAATGGTGGTCACTACGAGTGGGAATTGACTAGATGGCAGTGAGTTTGGTTGTTTGGTACTGAAAGCTATGGTATTTTCAATTGGCTCATCTGCATGTGAAAGTGGGACAGTGAAGAAGGACCAAAGAAGAGCTGATGGTTTTGAGCTATGGTGTTGGTGAAGAATACTGAAAGTACCATGGACTGCCAGAAGAACAAACAAAATCTGCCCAGGAAGAACTACAGTCAGAATGCTCCTCAGAAGCGAGAATGGCCAAACTTCGTCTTACCTACTTTGGTCATGTTGTCAGAAGGGACAATTGCCTGAAGAAGGTTACTATGCTAGGTAAAGTAAAGGGTCAGCAAAAAATGGGAAGATCCTCGACAAAATGGATTTACAGAGTGGCTGCAACGATGGGCTCAAGTATAACAAGGATTGTGAGGATGGTGCACAACCGGGCAGTGTTTGATTCTGTTGTACATAGAGTTGCTATGAGTTGGAGTCAACTCATCAGCACCTAACAACAACTAACACTAACCATATTAAGATTCACTATGTATCAGGTAGCATAGTGGCTAAAGCACTTGACTGCTAACCAGAAGGCTGGCGGTTCAAACCCACCAGCCACTCCTCGGAAGGAAGGTTGGGCAATCCTACTTCCGTAGTGATACTGCCTCGGAAACCCAAGGAGGGGTCACTATGAGTCGGGGCCGACTCGACGGCACATAACAACAACAACAACAACAATGTATCAGGTAGGCGCTCTGGTAGCATAGTAGTGCCTAAGGCACCTGACTGCTAACCCGAAGGCTGGCAGTTCAAACCTACCAGCCACTCCTTGGAAAGTTGGGCAATCTACTTCCACAGTGAGAACACCTGGGAAACCCAAGGAGGGGTTGCATCTGACTCCAGGGCACGTAACAACAACAACAACAACAACGTGTCAGGTACTGTTTACATATTAGGTCTGATAACCTTCATATCAACCTCATGAGATAGATGCTATTATTATCTGCATGTTACAAATGAAGAAACTGAGGTTAATAAAATCATCAGCTGGTAAGTAGCAGGGCAGGAACTTAAATCACGGCTTTAAAGGCTGTACTCTAATTGGCTGGTAGCCAATGAGAAGTTCCATCTTGTCCATAGCATATTAACTAATGTTAAGGTATAATTTTGTAGCCATATGTTCCATTTTGCTACTGTGTTATTATTGTTCTTGTTTTCCCTTATCTTCCTCCTCTGTTTCTATTCATCCTTTCAGATTCTACGACTCTTCTCCATACTCAAACATTTAAACATACTTGCATATGAAAGGAGGTATTTTTGGTCATGGTTTGCTTTTACAAAAATGGGAACAAACTATACTATAAGCACTCTTCTGTGATTTGCTTTTTTCCCAGGTATACACAATCTCTTTTCCGAAGAAGATACATAATCCTAACTCATCCTTTTAAAATAATTACTTTCTGATATTGCATAGTGTGTATATAAGACAATTTATTCAACCATCCCGACTCTGATGGACAATCAAATTCCAGGATAAATCTTAGGATCACTGAAGCAATCTAAGAGCAAGGCTACCCTGACTTCATTTTCAGTCTCAAAATTAGTTTATATTTTCTGGGCAGACAGTTCCATACATTGTTAACGATACAATAGCCCAATTATTTTGGTATTATAGCCCCCATTTTACCGATGAACAAATCGAGGGTCCAAGAATTATTAGAGAAGATGACTAAGGTCACCTTACAGTATTCTTGGCATACAGCCACAAAGTAGACGGGTCCAAAATTCCCGCTCTAACCTGCTTTATGTGGCCCTGTATTCCAAAAAGGTCTGTCCCGGGCAACACCTAGGTTCAGCCAATAAGGATGAGTTTTTCGTCGTTCCACGCACCCAGCTCAGGTCTTTGAGAGCGTCCCACACTCCCAAATCTTCTGGTCAGTCTGAAAACAACTTTCGGCTGAAAACTTGACCCTTGAACAGATGTCAGGCGAAAGGAAGTAATTTTCGCAGAGATGCTGCGAAGGTCACACGATTTGGGGTAATCTGGACTTACAGAAGTCAAGATCCATCATGGGAACCAGAAGAGGGGACAGAAATAGCTGGGGTGCACAGCTACATTTACTGCAACACAACCAGTAAGCGTCCGGTCGCGAAACGACTCCTCCATCTCTAACGGCTCCCACACCAGCGGGAAAGGGGGGCTTACCTGCAAACCTCTCAACTTTTTTGGCCCTAAGACACCTCAAACTCCTGGCAGTTCGCTTCCACGTGTCCGGCTTACAGTATTCTTAGGTCCCTAAACCACCGCCTCCGAGCCAAAGCCAATCAAGAGGCGGTGCGTCATCACTGGGCGCCAGTAAGAAGCCAAAGTAATATCAAAGAAAGAACTGATGGCCCGGAGGCTGAGAGACAGCTGCCGTTGCTATAGGTAACTGGGCTAACGCGTTCGGTCTGCGCAAAACCTCCTGGGAGTGGTGGTTCGACCAGGTCCGTTAAAATGCTTTCTTTGTGGGTGGAAGAACTACAACTCCCAATTTGACCCGGAAGCAGCCTGTTCAAAGGAGCAGTTATTGCAGCTTTGGCCGCTGTCCGGGCCTAAATCTGGAAAATGCTGTTAACACCCCAAGAAAGGTCCGCTTCAAGGAAGAGGACGGGAGTGAATGGCTGGAAACGGTTCACAAGGAAGCCAAGTCCCAAGGTGATCCCTGTCGGGAGCTCTGGGGAGCAGGGACCTATGCGCAGCCCCGCCCTTTGACCATCCTTTCTCTTACCCCCGGACATCCTTCTCTGGGCCGACCCTACCTTGGCTGCCCCCTAGCCAGCGTCGTCTGGCGTGACCGAGTCTTAGAAGGTTCGGAGTATGGGTGCTTTATAACATTGGTGGGCAGCTGGAATAACTGGTTCAATCTAACGCTTTTGTCAAGCCGCAGAGGTCCAGTAGTCTCCAACCCTAATGAAGAGCATAGCACCCCGCCTCCCACAGTTTTGGAAGAGTTCCTGTACATTTCAGTTGTTGATGTTTTGCAAATCAGGGAGAACTAACCTTAATTTTAGGGGAAGAGGTGGTCTTCACATTAAACCCTCTGCCTCAAGCCCTTCCCCTTAATAGTTTTACGTGAAGGATCTAAAGTGAACTCAGGAATGCAAGTGGATATTAAATATATCAACATTTGATTCACATGGTAATTCCTAACACAACCAACATTCTAAAAAAGAGAGTCCCTATTTCTTACCTCTTTTGATTCGTTAGCTTCTGAAGACCAGAAAAACTGATAGGGAAATTTTAAACTTGAAGCACATGTAAGTTCACATGTAAAGCTGCAGTCACATGGAGTGTGCTTTCCACAAACTCATTTTTAACAGCCACAAAAATAAATACTTTAAATGTGAATGAGAGTCCCAAAATGGAGCGGCTACTCAGCTTTCAGCTAAAGAACAGTTTCACCAGCCGTTTTCCCCTTAAGCTACACTTTGCTAATACTGTAGACAAGTGACCTTTCTGAGGATCTTAGGTAGCTGTCGTTGCAATTTATTCCAAACATACCAACTGAATCATGTACTGGACATACTCCAACGTAATGAATATCTTGTCTTAGATACTGAAGAGTGAAGATTGGAGCTTTAGAGAGACTTGGAAACTGAGTCTGCACCTATTGTATAAGTTACATAATGGATTGAACTTGAAATAGGTTATCAGTGTAAACTTGATGAAAGGTAAAAATCTGGGGCAATTTCTTAGGACTCTAAAATGAAGGATTTTTGCTGCTAGTGCTTGTTGTTGCTGCCTAGAGTATAAAAAGTTTTGTTATTTTTTTTTTTTTTCCTTTTTAAGGGCTTCTTGAAGTTCTGTTGTATTTTAACAGGAGCAGCTCTTTCTTTGTTTCTGTGACAAAATTATTCAGCAGTACAGCTGCATTAATTAGTATCTGTAAGTGTTTTGAAGGTGAAGTGTTATGTGAGTGAAGTGTATTATACGTTTCCCACCTTCCTGTGTCAGCTTGCTAGTTGAGATGTTTTCTTATTTATTTAAAACCCACCAGAATTATTAGCAAAGCAAATATTTCTATTTGTTAAGTGACTATTAGAGGGAATTCTGCTTGAGTTTAGCAACTACAAAGTGAAGAAAAGAGATGTCCTGGTAGTCTGATTTCTAATTTCAGATAATATCTTGCTGACCCGAGTGGAAATTTACTTGATTTCTACTTCATTTTCTGTTTTGTGTGATAGTAGAAGTAAAACTGTTTACCGCTCACCTCTACTCCCCCAGTTCTTATTGTACTGAACAATATCTCTGATCAAGGTAATGTAAGAAAACCTCTTGCTGTAGTCAACCCCTGTAAAAAAGAGGCTAAGGAGAAGGAAATGGAGCCCCAGTGGCGCAATGGTTAAGTGTTCATCTGATAACCAGGAGGTTGACGATTTGATCCCACCCAGTGGCTCCATGAGAGAAAGACCTGACGATCTGCTTCAGTAAAGATTACACCCGAGAACACTCTGTGGGGGTAGTTCTGCTCTACTACATGGGGTCAGTATGAGTCCAAATCGACTTGACAGCACCTAACAACAAGAAGGACACACTTTTCTACAAGAGTATTTGCTTCCTTAACACTTGGATACCAAAACCAAAAACCAAATGTATTACTTTTGAGTCGATTCCAACTCATAGCAACCCTCTAGAAAGGAGTAGAACTGCCCTATAGGGTTTCTAAGGATGTAAATCTTTGTGGAAGCAGACTGCCACATCTTTCCCCTGCAGAGTGGCTTGTGGATTCAAACAACTGACCTTTTGGATAATTTGGCTAATTAATCTGATTGGATTTTCATGAGGCAATACCATACCTACTATTTCTCTAGGAGCTCTGGTAGCATAGTGCCTGAGGCATTTGACTGCTAACCAGAAGGCTGGTGGTTCAAACCCACCAGCCACTCCTTGGAAGGAAGATTGGGCAATCTACTTCTGTAGTGATACTGCCTTGGAAACTCAAGGAGGGGTCACTATGAGTTGGATCCAACTCCACGGCAATGAGTGAGTTCCTATTTCTCTAAGGAGCTCTGGTAGTGCAGTGGGTCAGGCATTTGGCTGCTAGCCGGTGGTTCAAACCCACCAGCTGCTCCATGGGAGAAAGATGAGGTAATCTACTTCTGAAAAGATTTACAGTCTTGGAAACCCTATGGGGGTGGCTATGCTTCAGAATATCAACTTGATGGCAGTAGGTAATGTTTCTGTTAGCACTAATCCTGAGAAATTTTGAAAAGTACTAATGCCTGGATACCACCCAGAACAATTTAATTAGAATCTCTAGAGGTGTGACCCAAGCAAGGGATAAAAACAGTCAAACAATGTCCCAGAGAATACTTAATGATTCTTCCTCATGCTTTTCTGCGTTCTTCTGTTGCTAATTAGTGCTGAACTTTCTAATGAAATGCTGGGGAGAAAGAATATAGGGCACTTTTGTGTATGCTTTAGTCAGAAAGATAGATTAAAATGACAAAGTTGATATAGATATAGCTGTGTATTAATATTCTATGTATATTTTCTGCAGCCTGCCTTTGACCCTGACAATGTGCAGCAATGGATGAAGGTAAGGATATTTCAAAATTAAGATTGAAAAAGAATTGAGAGTAAGACATAATCAGATGGAAACTGAATACCAAAACCAGACCAAACCAAACCAAACCAAACTCATTGCCATCCAGTTGGATCTGACTCGTAGCGACCCCTCCTTGAGTTTCCAAGGTGGTATTTCTATAGAAGTAGATCACCCAATCTTCCTTTTGAGGAGTGGCTGGTGGGTTTCAACCACCAGCCTTCTGGTTAGCAGTCAAATGCCTTAGGCACTATGCCACCATTTTGTACATACTGTGCTATTTTTATTCCCATGTGACTATGTTGCCTTAGTTTTTATACTTTTTAGTATTTTAGTATTTTTTTTTTTTCATTCTGTTGCTTCTCATGAAAGTGTTTAAGGAAGAATGGCAACAAAAGGGTATAGAAATACCCTTTCAAATGCCATGAGGTTCCAGTGAAGAAGGAAAAGCAGCTTTTGGAGAGGATATGGTAGCCTCCCTAAGATGTTTGATGTTTGAAAGGCTGGATTATAGTTACATTAACCAAGGGGACCAATAGGTAGAAGCTACATGTGCATCATAAGCAAAAATTTTATAATGACTAGATTTATCTAAAAAATGGCATAGATGTTCTCTCAAAGAGAAGAGCTTTCTAATACAAGACGTATTCAAGGGAGTCTAAGTGACCACTTAATGTTAGGGCTAATGAAGAATACGTTTGAGGAGATGTAATTAGGTTAGGTGACTTCTGAGATCTCTTTCATGCTGAACTGTGTATTTTTGAATCCTGTGCCATTTAAGTGAAATATACCATTAAACCACTTTAGGTGCATGCCTTTGAGTGTCAATTTGGCAATTTGCCATATTTAATTCATTTGTGCAACACATGTTGCAAAATCATGAAACATTTTCCTGGGAAAAAATATTCTTCTGCTTTGTACTATTTTGAAGATTTATTATCTAAATTCACAGACATCATAAGCTACAGGCCAGATAGGCCTAAGACCAGAGTTAATAATTGGTGGTGCAGTGGATAAGGCATTTGGCTGCTAACCAGAGGTTGGTGGTTCAAACCCACCAGGTGCTCCACGGAAAGATGATAGAGCAATCTACTCCAATAAAGATTTATAGCTTCGGAAACCCAATGCTGGTCCACTATGAATCGGAATCAAATCAGTGGCAACATGTTTAGGCTTTTTTTCAGTGGTTTTTTTTTTTTTTTTTTTTGGTTTTAACTATTTATTTATTCAGCCATTTTACATTAGGTGCCTACTAAATGTTAGCCCACTATGTTGGGCACTGGTAATAAAACAGTATACAGGACAGGTGCAGTCCCTGCCCTCTAGAGTTTATAACTCAGTGGGAAATATACAATTTACTTAAAGGTAATGGAGGAATTAAGGAGTGTAATGGAAGCATATGTGGGGGATGCTAATTGAGATGGGGCCCAGGAAGGTTTCCTAGCCAGGCCTATTTTCTGAGATGCCTCTGGGTGGGTTCGAACCACTAACTTTTTGGCCAGTAGTCAAATGCTTAACTATTTGCACCACCTCAAGATTCCTTCCAGTGTAGTAGGGGGAGCAAAAAAAGGAGGGTGGATAGGAAGTTTATGTTCTCACTGCCATAGAGTTGATGAGAGAGGTTGATGTTAGAGAGTGGATTATCAGAGTTTGGTTTGAGCAATGGTGAATTGTGTATGGCATGGTTCAGGATTACCATGTAAGTGAATTGTTGCATTAGAATGGAGGGGAAGGCTGTTGGATCAAGCAAACCCTGAGTTGGTGAGTCATCCTCAGGGATGTTGAAGTCACTTAGAATCTGGCAGAAATTAGAGTAAAACAGTGAGCCCTGGGGCAGCTTACCTCAATTGTAACAGTCTACCATGATTTATAATTCATCCTTCCCCTGATTTGATAGACTAATTCATTTTACTACCCCAAAGCATTCTGCTACTTGATTGAACTTTCTAAAAATCATTTTTATTCTGTCAGTTCTGTACTTGTGAATCTTCAGTGATTCTGTGTGCCAGCAGATGAAACTACCTAATTTCTAAATTGGCATTTAAGGACTTTTCTCTACCTGTAATATCAACCTGTTATGGTCTCTTTACTTGTACCTTGTAGGACTCCTGTCAGAACAATTACCCTCTCCTTCATCAGATGAATCTTTCTTTTGCTTCAACTCATTCTTAACCCCCAGTATGAAATATACTTCTTTTCTGCAGCCCACCCAGAACCTTCCCTTAAACCTCAGCTTGAGATGACCTCTCTCAGTGAACAAACCCCCTCACCTAGCTTGTTTTGGTTCTCTAGTGCTTCTATAACAGAAATACCACAAATGGGTGGTTCTAACAAACAGGGATTTATTATCTTACAGTTTCATAGGCTAGAGTCCGAGTTCACAGTGCCAGCTCTAGGGGCTGGATGAAGGCACCTCAACCTTGGGCTCTGCCTCTTGCTCCTGGCCCACTGAAACTGAAGGCCTCTCTTAACTCAAGCAACTGCTGGCTGCTGAGGCTGACAAACCCAAGGTCAACAAGTAAAATGGCACAATGCCAAAATTATCAAGGAACACACAGGCCACTAGTTCAAGTCCAGAAACAGTATCAAGATTGGCAGACAACATGGCAGGCCACTGAGATGAAGACTCAGCCAAATGTAGGACCCAGATGTGCCAAAATGTAACTTCCTCAAAGTATCTTCTTATATACTGGAAGCAGACCGCATCCCTAAGGCAGCTACACAGCTACTCACAGTAGATTCCACTATGGAGCTGATTACCTGTCTCATCATGGGGAATAACTATATCCAGCTGCCCAGCCACTCAAAACCAAGCACAGCCAAGTTGACATAACTACCACACACTTGAACTATCCCATCCTCTACTACTCTTTCCCTTGAAATTGCCTTTGATACATACTGATAAAGTATTTCCTTCTATGCAGAGTGGTTAAAAATGAATTGGACACTTTTCCAATATTCATGGCTTTCAAGAAATAAAGGAGTGCATTGTGGCCACTGTTTCTGCCATCCATGGTTGTCTTAGTTACCTAATGCTGCATAATTGAAAAAAAAAAAAAAAACCCACAAGTGGGTGACTTTATAGAACAGACATGATTGTCTCACAGTTTGGGAGAGTAGAAGTCCAAACGAGGTCATGGACTCTAGGAAAAGGTCCTTCCCTTTTGGTGGCCCACGTGTTCCTTGGCTTTTAAAGGGATTTTCACATGACATCTGTCTTCTCCCTGTGTATGTGTCACTGTGTCTATTCAGCTCTTTTTATAAGACACTGCTCAAAAGGGATAAGGTTTAGGACCTACGCTACTCTACAATGCTCTCATTAACATAACGAAAGAAAACCCGTCTTTCCAAACAGGGTCACAGTCACAGGTACAAGGGTTAGGGTTTCAACATATGTTTTTTGGGACATAATTCTATTCATAACAGTGGGCATAGGTGATGAAAAGACTGGAACACACCATGGAATTGATGTGTGCCATGGGACACAGGGCGCATGTATTGAGCATTTATAAGGTCATAGATATAATTGCATGGTTCCTTTACAAATTCTGGGATTATATATATCCAGTTACTGAGCAATATGCTTTTGAAGGTGTTTGGTTCTTTTGAATCACCCTGTATTTTCTTAGAATTGTTCTTTAGTTTTTGTTTATTGCACACATGGCTTATGGAACCAAAAGAAAAGTGAAGTCCTTGAGAACAGAAGGTTTTACTTTTGTTTGCTCCTTAATCCCGCCACAGCACTAACAGAGTACTCTTCAACAAGATTTATTGAAAGAATGACTTGTTACAAAGACAATGTTTGTCTCACTGAAGTATAATTCGAGATAGACCTATCTCTTATATGGGAGCTCTGGTAGCGTAGTGCCTAAGGTAGTTGACTGCTAATCAGAAGGCTGGTGGTTCAAACCCACCAGCCACTCCTCAGAAGGAAGGTTGGGCAATCTACTTCCATAATGGTACCGTCTCAGAAACCCAAGGAGGGGTTGCTATGTGTTGGATCCGACTCCATGGCAGTGAGTTTGGTTTTTTGGTATCTCTTACATATATTGGGAAGAAGTATGGTTAAGGATGTGATATTTTAAAACAAAGAAATTCAGAGATTATTTCTAATCTCTAGCACAATCTCGTATTTGTTTTTTTAAAATCTTGGTTTTCAATGATATCTCAAATATTTACTTTGTTAGAACAAAGCAAGCATTTCTCTTTACCTCCATCTCAGTTCCAGACTCTACTCCTTTTTTAGTTTCAAGATAGTCTTCTTCCTCTTATCTCCCAAGCTCTCTACCTTTTCTGTTGAAAACCTGTACAAATTCTAACTTAGCTGGGATGGCACATCATACAAAGTTATTTCTTTCACTCATAGCTTGAGGAACTAAGTAAAGTCTACCATCCTGTGTTTATTGTTTATTTTTTGTTTGTTTGGGTGTTAGCTTAAAAAATTTAAGTTGGGATGAAGTGCAGAGGTTCCAGTAAGATGGTGAAATAGGCAGGAAAACTGCACAGACCTTCTTCAACAAAGAAAAGGGGAACCTATTAACACAGATACAGAAGATAATCTTGGACCCCTGAGCCTTGAAGGGAAGGATATTGAAGTGGACTAAACTCCAACTAGCAGAAGAATTTGCGTGAAAACACTAAAAAAGGAGACATATGGAGCTACACGTGTAGCATTGGGAAAGTCAACTGCGAAGGAACTGTTTCAAGTGCTGAGGAGCAAGGATATCTCCTTGAGGACTAAGGTGTGCCTGACACAAG